TCTATGTATCTGTTTTTATGTCAATACCATAATGCTTTGATTACTATAGCTTTGAGTCTAGTTTGAAATCAGGAAGCATGATGCTTCCTGATTAGTTTTTCTTTCTCAAGATTGCTTTGGCTATTCAGGGTCTTTTCTAGTTCCACATGATTTTAGGATTGTTTTTTCTGCCATTGGAATTTTGATAAGGACTGCACTGAATCTGTGGTTGCTTTGGGTACTATGGACATTTAAAAAATATTAATTCTTCCAATCCATGAGTAAGGAAAAAATTTTCATTTATTTGTGACTTCTTCAATTTCTTTCACCAATGTTTTATAGTTTTCAGTGTATAGATCTTGCACCTCCTTGGTAAAATTTATTCCTAAGTATTTTATTCTTTTTGATGCTATCATAAATAGAACTGTTTTCTTAATTTCTCTTTCTGATAGTTCATTCATAGAAACACAACAGATTTTTGTAAATTGAGTTTGTATCCCGCAACTTTACAGAATTCATTAATTAGTTCTAACAGGTTTTTGGTGGAGTCTTTAAGGTTTTCTATACATATCATGTCATCTGCAAACACTGACAATTTTAATTCTTCCTTTCCAATTTGGATGCCTTTGATTTCTTTTTCTCACCTAACTGCTCTGGCTGGGACTTCCAGTACTATGTTGAACAAAAGTGGCAAGAGTGGGCAACCTTGTCTTGTTCCTGATCTTAAAGGAAAAGCTTTCAGCTTTTTACCATTGAGTATGATGTCAGCTGTGACCCTGTCATATACAGCCTTTATTATCTTGAGGTATGTTCCCTCTATACCCAGTTTGCTGAGAGTTTTTATCATGAATGGATGTCAAATTTTGTCAAATTCTTTTTCTGCATCTATTGAGACAATCACATGATTTTTATCTTTCATTGTTAATGTGGTGTATCACACTGATTGATCTGCAGATGTTGAACCATCCTTGCATCCCTGGAATAAATCCAACTTGATTATGGTGTATGATCCTTTTAACATATTATTAAATTCAGTTTGCTAATATTTTGTTGAGATTTTTTGCATCTATATTCATCAGGGATATTGGCCTGTAAATTTCTTTTCTTATAATGTCTTTATCTTGTTTTGGTTTCAAGGTAATGCTGGCCTCATAATGAGTTTGGAAGTGTTCCCTCCTCTTCTATTTTTTGGAAGAGTTTGTGAAGGATTGGTGTTAATTCTTCTTTAAATGTTTGGTAGAATTTACCAGTGAAGCCATCTGGTCCTAGACTTTTGTTTGTTGGGAGGTTTTTGATTACTATTTCAATCTCCTTACTTGTAATTGGTCTGTTCATATTTTCTATTTCTTCGTAATTCAATCTCGATAGGTTGCATGTTTCTAGGAATTTGTCCATTTCTTGTAGGCTGCCTAATTTGCTGACATATAATTGTTCCTAGTAGTCTCTTAGGATCCTTTATGTTTCTGTGGTATCAGTTGCAATGTCTCCTCTTCCATTTATAATTATATTTATTTGAGTCTTTTTTTTTTCTTGGTTAATCTGGCTAAGGATTTTCAATTTTGTTTATCTTTTTAAAAAAACCAACTCTTAGTTTTGCTGATCTTTTCTATTTTTTTCCCATTCTCTGTCATTTATTTCTGCTCTGATCTTTGTCGTTTCCTTCCTTCTGCTAACTTTGGGTTTCTTTTCTTTTTCTAACACCTTGAGGTTAGGTTCTTTATTTGAGATCTTTATTTTTGCTTAATGAATGCATTGATAGTTATAAACTTTCCTCTTAGAACTGCTTTTGCTGCATCCCGTAAGCTTCAGTATGTTGTGTTTCCACTTTTGTTTGTCTCAGATTTTTTTTTATTTCTCTCTCTTTTTTTTTCTAATTTAACAGTATTTCATCAACCTTTTTTGTGTGTGTGTGAGATCAGCCCTGTGCTAATATCTGCCAATCCTCCTCTTTTTTTTTTTGCTGAGGAAGACTGGCCCTGAGCTAACATCTGTGCCCATCTTCCTCCACTTTATATGGGACGCTGCCACAGCACGGCTTGCCAAGCTGTACGTTGGTGGCGCCTGGGATCTGAACCAACAAACCCCGGGCTGCTGCAGCGGAGTGCACGCACTTAACCGTTTGCGCCACCGAGCTGGCCCCTTTATTACTCTTTTGATTTCTTCTTTGATCCATTGGTTGTTCAGGAGTGTGTTGTTTAATTTCCATGTATTTGTGAATTTTCCAATTTTCCTCTTGTTATTGACTTTTAGTTTCAAGCCATCTTTTCACTGGAAAAGATACTTGATAAAATTTCAATTTTCTTTAATTTGTTAAGACTTTTTTAGAACTAACATGATCTATCCTGGAGAATTGTTCTGTGAGTTCTTGAGAAGAATGTGTATTCTGCTGGTGTTGGACAGAATGTTCTGTATAGATCCATTTGGTCTATACTGTTGTTCAAAACTGCTATTTCCTTTTTGATTTTCTGTCTGGATGATCTATCCATTGTTGAGCGAGGGGTATTAGAGTTCCATACTATTACTGTATTGCTGTTTATTTTTCCTTTCAGTTCTGTTAGTATTTGCTGTTAGGTGCTCCTATGTTGGTGTATAAATATTTAAAATTGTTATATCATCTTGATGAACTGACCCCTTTCTCTTTAAATAATGACCTTCTTTGTCTATCATGACCCTTTTTAACTTACAGTCTATTCTGTTTGATATAAAGATAGGCACTCCCGCTGTCTTCTGGTGACCATTTCCATGGAATACCTTTTCTGATCCCTTTGCTTTCAGCCTATGTGCGTCTTTAAAGCTAAAATGAGTCTCTTATAGGCATTATTTCCCTTTTAAAACAGTGTAGTATTGGCAAAAGAATAGACAAATAGGTCAATGGAACAGAAGAGAGGCCAGAAATAGACCCACATAAATACAGTTAAGTGATCTTTGACAAAGGAGTAAAGGCAATACTATGGAGCAAAGATAGCCTTTTCAACAAATGGTGCAGGACAACTGAACATCCATGTGCAAAAAAATAAATCCAGCTACAGACATTACACTCCCTTACAAAAATTAACTCAAAATGGATTACAGAGCTAAATGTAAAACACAAAACTATAAACCTCCTAGAAGACAACACAGGAGAAAATCTAGGTGACTCTGGGTATGGCAATGACTTTTTAGATACAACACCAAAGGCAAGATCCATGAAAGAAATAATTATAAGCTAGACATCATTAAAATTAAAAGCTTCTGGGGGCTGGCCCCACAGCCTGGTGGTTGAGTTTGGCGTGCTCCACTTCAGCAGTCCAGGTTTGGTTCCTGGGCGCAGACCTACACCACTCATCAGTGGCCATGTTGTGGAGGTGACCCACACACAAAAGAGAGAAAGATTGGCACAGATAATAGCTTACAGTAAGTCTTCCTCAAACAAAGAGAGGAAGATTGGCAACAGATGTTGGCTCAGGGCAAATCTTCCTCAGCAAAAATAAATATAAAAAAAAATAAAAACGTCTGCTTTCTGAAAGACAATGTCAAGAATGAGAATTTAAGCCACAGACTAGGAGAAAATATTTACAAAAGACATATCTGATAAAGGGCTGTTATCCAAAATATACAAAGGGCTCTTAAAACTCAATAATAAGAAAATAAATAACCCACTTAAAAAATGGGCCAGGGGCTGGCCTGGTAGCATAGAGGTTATGTTCGTGCACTCCACTTTGGCGGCCTGGGGTTCGCCGGTTCAGATCCTGGGCATGGACCTACTCACCACTCATTAAGCCATGCTGAGGCAGTGTCCCACACAGAGCAACTAGAAGGATGTACAACTATGACATACAACTATCTACTGGGGCTTTGGGGAGAAAAAGGGGAAAAAGGAGGAAGATTGGCAACAGATGTTAGCTCGGGGCCAATCTTCCTCAAAAAAAAAAGAGGTCAAAGACCTGAACAGATACCTCACCAAAGAAGAAATACAAATGGCTAATAAGTATATGGAAAAGATGCTCCACATCATATGTCCTTAGGGAATTGCAAATTAAAAACAACGAGATACTACTACATACCTAATAGAATGGCCAAAATCCAAAACAATGACACCACCAAATGCTGGCAAGGATGTGGAGCAACAGGAATTCTCATTCGTTGCAAAATGGTACAGCCACTTTGGCAGAAAGTTTGGCAGTTTTTTATAAAAGAAAACACACTCTTACCACACGATCCAGCAAACACACTCCTTGGTTACTTACCCAAAGGAGTTAAAAACTTATGCCCACACAAAATCTCTACGTAGATGTTTATAGCAGCTTTATTCATAATTGCCAAATCTTAGAAGCAACCAAGATGTCCTTCAGTAGGTGAATGCATAAATAAACTGTGGTACATCCAGACAATAAAATATTATTCAGCACTAAAAGGAAATGAGCTATCAAGTCATGAAAAGGCATTGGAGGAAACTTAAATGCGTACTACTAAGTGAAAGAAGCTAACCTGAAAAGGCTACACATTTGTATGATTCCAACTATAAGACACTCTGGAAACAGCAAAACAATGGAGACAATAAGATCAGTGGTTGCCAGGGGCTGAGGGAGGGAGAGATGAATAGGCGGAGCACAAAGCATTTTTAGGGCAGTAAAACTATTCTGTATGATACTATAATGATGGATACATATCATTACACATTTGTCAAAACCTATAAGAATGTACTACACCAAGAGTGAATCTTAATGTAAAATATGAATTATGTGTGTCAATGTAGGTTTATCAGTTGTAACAAATGTACCACTGTGGTAGAGGATGTTGTGGGATAAGCAATCCATGTATAGGGTTAGAGGGTAAATGGGAACTCTGTACTTGCCACTTAATTCTGCTGTGAACCTAAAACTGTTCCAAAAAAATAAAGTCTATTAAAAAAACATGGCTCTTAACCATCTTTTACTACTTTTACTCAGATCAAAAATAGTTGTTTCCACTATGATCAGAAGGCAAAACCACTGCCTGATTATTTCTAAAACTTAGTTTCCAAAATCATCTTAACTGGTAATTTAAGGCTCACAACAAGGAACAAAGAACTTACTTTTCAATTTTCTTCTTATATTCTTTTTGCCTTTGTTGTTCTTTTACTTGTTCTCTTTCAATATCCATGAAAAGTCGTCTATGTCTCAGGTATTGCTTTTGACGCTATAGGAAAGAAGATAAAATTGTTAAGATTCTGCTTTCAGAGGACTTTCTAAGGAAGGAAAATATCTTTGTGCCACAGACAAAAAAAAATATATGATATAGAAGTCACATGGAAATAAGTCTTTTTTTTTTTTTTTTTTTAAAGATTTTATTTATTTATTTTTCCCCAAAGCCCCAGTAGATAGTTGTGTGTCATAGCTGCACATCCTTCTAGTTGCTGTATGTGGGACGCGGCCTCAGCATGGCCGGAGAAGCAGTGCGTCGGTGCGAGCCCGGGGTCCGAACCCGGGTCGCCAGCAGTGGAGCGCGCTCACTTAACCACCAAGCCATGGGGCCGGCCCTGGAAATAAGTCTTTAATTTCCTTCTATTTATGGTGACTCAGGTTAATATCACATACAGCAAGAGCTTTTTATTTTCAAGCACACAGCTACTAGATGCTACAGACGAATCAGAGAAAGAAGTACTGATTTAGTTTGCCCTTAATATAGTCCCTTGTCAACAGCACTTGAAGATAAGATTGTATTTGATATAAGATATATACTATATTTACTCTGTGTTCCAAAGTAGTATGTAGCACAGAAGCAGGACCACAGAAAGAATAAGAGAGGTATTTTATAACAGAACAATAGTCACTTTAACTTTTCAAAATTAAAACCATACCACAATTGGATACTCTAAGCCTAGCCCAACATGGTGGGGAAGAGGGAAGAAGGACTGAGGAATATCAGAGCATCATACTTCTTTTTTTTTATGAGGAAGATTAGTCTTGAGCTAACATCTGTTGCCAATCCTTTTTTTTTTTTTTTTGCTGAAGAAGATTGGCCCTGGGCTAATATCTGTGGCCATCTTCCTCTACTTTATATGGGACACTGCCACAGCATGGCTTGACAAGCGGTACATAGGTCCGTGCCTGGGATCCAAACTGGCAAACTGGCAAACTCCGGGCCGCCAAAGCGGAGCGTGCAAACTTAACTGCTATGCCACTGGGCTGGCCCCCAGAGCATCATACTTCTAAAGAGAACAAGTATAATAAAAGCAAGTGCTACTATCCTGTGTGTGATCTGTTCATACCTCTGGATTTATATAGTTTCTTTTAAGGACTCATGCTACTCAAAGGGTATTGGTATACCCATTCATGTTTTTGCCCTTTGAGTAGCTTGAGTCCTTTTAGTAAAAAATATTAAAAGTCTAATAGTTCTGAATATTGAGGATACATCACAATCATCAGTGGTATTTTTTAAAAACACAGATGCCCCAGACCTACCTTTTCAGATACTGATTCAGTATATCTGGTTTGGGTCCAGGCATTTGTATTTAAAAAAAGCTCCACATCTGATTCTGGTACATGGCCAGTGTTAAAAACTGTTGGTTTAAACTACTGAAAAGAAAAAAAAGGAAGCCATAAATTAAAACTCTTCCTTTAAATAAGTTATTGTGGCAAATATCACTTTCTGGAGAAATTCACTAGGATCAGATCTCCAATTTTACATTAAGGCACCCTAAATCCTAGGAGCTTGGAAGAGAAGTTGAACATATTAAAATGACTCAACTTGTTTGCCTTATCTATGAAATTCATAGTATTAGCTCAACGTGTTAGGACACAACAAACTGTTTCCAATTTATATATTTATATAGTACTATTCTATTCACATAAACTATTATATATACTATTACAGTAGAAATACTGATGTCCGAAAGCAGTACCATTACATACCTCTTTCTTGTCTTCTTCTTGATCTACTCCAGACTGAAGTGCCAGTGGAGTTTGGAATTCAGTGTTCAATCCTGATTGATATTCATCATAAACCTGTCAGAAAGTCCAGTTACACAAAATGACAAAATTGCCAAAAGCTAGCCCCGTGCATGCTTTAGATATTTTCATCTATTGATTCTTTTCTCCTGCAACCCTGAGCTCAACTGGATAAAAATCAAAAAAACAAATAGAATAAAATAAAAAAAGAATGAAAGGAAGCAGCTTTGAAGGAATTAACCAAACAAACAACAATAAACCAAAGGCAAAGATTCAGGTCAAAAACATGGATGAACTAATAAAAAATCAAAATGCTCAGAATGAAAGTTCTGAAGTGAAATCACTCTATCATAAGTGTGCTTGGGATTGAATCCAGGATAAAAAGCCAGATCCCTTAATATCTCAAATCTATAATCATTTTCAATCTATACAACTCTCTTGATGAGTATGAGTCCAGAGAATAAAAGCCTAAAAGTACTATAACAATCAACTGACATGGCAGGGAGGAAACTGGAGCTAATTTCCGCCATATTACTAAGAAAACCTTATGACATAACTTGGTATACCTACTTGGACATTATATGGGTTAAATTACGATCTCTAACTTTTATAAATAAAAGCTTAAAATTACTTTTATCTGTTTAGCTTAAAAGTCATTTATCTTTCAGCAAAGTTGCAGGATACAAGATCAGTATATAAAAATGAATTGTATTTCTATATATTTGCAATGAACAATCTGAAAATGAAATTAAGGGAAAAATCCATTTATAATACCATCAAAAAATACTTAAGAATAAATTTAACAAAGGAACTATAAATTTTATACTCTGAAACTTACAAAACATTGTTTAAAGAAATTAAAGAAGATCTAAATGAATGGAAAGACATCTTTTGTTCAGAATTGGAAGATTTAATATTGTTAAGATGGCAGTACTCCCCAAATTGATTTAATGCAATTTCCATCAAAATTTCAGTGGACTTCTTTGTAGAAGGTGACAAGGTGATCCTTAAATTCATATGAAAATGCAAGGGACCCAGAATAGCTCAGCTGATCTTGAAAGAGAAAAACAAAGTTGGAGGATTCACTCTTCCCAATTTCAAAACTTACTACAAACCTGGAATAATCAAGACAGTGTGGTACTGGCATAAGAATAGACATATAGATCAATGGAACAGAACTGATAGTTCAGAAATAAACCCTTATATTTACAATCAACTGATTCTTGACAACAGTGCCAAGAAAATTCAATGGGTAATAGTCTTTTCAACAAATGGTGTTGGTACAACTGGATATCCACATGCAAAAGAATGAAGTTGGACCCCTACCTAACACAAACTGAGAAAATTAACTCAACGAGGATCACAGACCTAAATGTAAGAGATATAAAATTCTTAGAGGAACACATAGGAACAAATCTTCATGATCTTGGATTAGGTTTCTTAGATAAGACACCAAAAGCACAAACCACAAAAGAAAAAATAGATAATTTAGACTTCTTTAAAATCAAAAACTTTTGTGCTACAAAGGAAACCATCAAGAAAGTAAAAAGACAACCCACGGAATGGGAAAAAACATTTGCAAATCATATAACTAATAGGGGACACATATGTAGAATATATTAAGAACACACATAACTCAATAATCAAAAGACAAATACCCCACTTATAAATTGGGCAGAGGATCTAACAGACAATTTTCCAAAGAAGATATGCAAATGGCCAATAAGCACATGAAAGGATGCTCATCATTAACCATCAAGAAAATTTTTTAAAAAATTAAATCAAAACCAGAACGAAATACCACTTCACACCCATTAAGATAGCTATAATTAAAAAGACAGATAATAACAAGCATTGGTGAGGATGTAGAGAAATTGGAACCCTTATATACTGCTGCTGGGAATGAAAAATAGTGCAGCCACTTTGGAAACCAGTTTGGCAGTTCCTCAAAAGGTTAAGCATAGAGTAACCATATGTCCCAACAATTCCACTCCTAGGTACATACCCAAGAGAAATGAAAACATATATCCAGAGAAAAACTTGTACACAGATGTTCACAGCAGCATTATTCATAATAGCCAAGAAGTAGAAACAATCCAAATGCCCATCAACTGATAAATGAATAAATAAAATGCGCTATATGCATAAAATGAATAGGAATGAAGTACTGCTTTATGCTACAAGGTCAATGAACTCTGAAAACACGCTAAGTGAAAGAAGCCAGTCACAAAGGCCATATTGCATGATCCCATTAACATGAAATGTCCAGAATAGGCAAATCTATAGAAACGAAAGTAGATTAGTGGTTGCCTAGGGTTGGGGGTGGGGATGAGGGGAAAAAGGGAGTGGCTGCTAAGGGGTACAGGACTTTTTGCGGATAATGAAAATGTTCTAAAATTGATTGTGGTGATGTCTCCACAACTCTTTGAATATACTGAAAACACTGAATTGTACACTTTAAATGGGTTAATTTTATGGTATGTAAATTACAGGCAATCCTCATTATTCACATATTCCTTATTTGTAAATTGCCCTATTTGCTAAATTTATTTGTAATCCCAAAATCAATACTCTTGGTGCTTTTGTGGTCATTTGCAGACTTGCACAGAGCTATGAAAAATTTGAGTTACCAGATGTGCACATTGCCAGCTGAGGTTGAACAAGTCAATGCTCTGCCTTTTTGTTTCAGACTTCATACTGTAAACAAGTATCCTTTTCAAGGTATATTTAGTGCCAAGTTTTCTGCATTTTTGTGCTTTTTGTTGGTGATTTCATTGTTAATAATGGCCCTCAAGCACAGTGCTGTAGTACTATCTAGTATTCCTAAGTAGAAGAAGGCTGTGATGTGCCTTATGGAGAAAACACATGTATTAGATAAGCTTCATTCAGACATGAGCTACAGTGCTACTGGCCCTAAGTTCAATGTTAATGAATCAACAATAAATAGTAAATAAGGTGTCTTTAAGCAGAAATACACATAAAACAAGGTTATACACTGATTAGTTGACCAAAATTTTCTGATCAGAGGCTCGCAGGAACTTAGCTCTGTTTCTCCTCTAGGAGCAACAGTTCAGTATTTGCTAATTCAGGTTTGTAGCAACTTTACAGAATATAATTACCAGGAATAACAACAATCAACTGTATATTTCAATAAGGCTATTATTTTTTAAGCTATTTATTTATTTGTTTGTTATATATAAAATCAGAAAATGATACACAGCAAAAGATTAATGGTAGTGATCTCTGGAATTTTGGTTATTTTTTTCTCTTTATTTATTTGTCTTTACCTTTACTACAATAAAAATGAAATTATTTTCTGCTTTCAAAAAAGTAAGAAAAACTGGACTTCCAGCACTGACGAAGGAATTACCCCACTATGTGCATCTCTCTCTCACTGACTGTAACTAAAAATTCCAGGAAATGCAGCCCATGGGATCTGGAGAGTGTAGGGGGTGGGTATCTTGAAGAGGAATGAGCTAGAAAAGTAGATCCCTTAATTCTATGTATGAACTGGCACATATCCCAGAACCACCCCTGAGCAGTGCATGCATGGGACAAACCTAAAGGAGTACAACAAAAGCTTTGAGAAGTGAACTAACATTGGAGTCACTGTTCACAGACGGTTAGAAAGAACTTATAGTCTGAACTTAACCAGATTGATTGCCTGCTAGAACAAATAAACAAAAAAGATGCAACATTCTTCAGAGAATTTTAACAGAAACCAGAGTCGCACAATATAATATTCAAAATCGGACCCAGAAGAAAAGGTGGCAAGACAATCCAGAATATAGGTCCAAAGAGAGATAACTCTTCCTTGACAGGAGGAACAGGTAAGAATGGCAAAAAAGTTAATGGTTGAAGTAGCTGTTGTGTGATGGCTTCTATTTTCTGTATGAAAGTCTGAGAGGACGGGAGTACAGCAACAACTTTAAGAAGAATTTAAGGCTGAGAATTATCAGTGTGGGTCATGGGAGAGGGAGCTGACAAAGGGCAAGTAAGAAAAATGCTGAGCAGCACAGGGGACCCAGCTGTGACTGTAAATTCTAAGTATGAATGTGGTATAAATCAACACTATTACAGTGTTTTCTCCAGTAAGGCTGGATTATTTGGGAGCCTAAGAGAAAAGACTGATCCAGGGTTGTGGATTTTCAGGGCTGGTATGGCAGAAGGACAAGAAGAGGTTCTGACCATCAAAGCTGCACCCTCAATTGAATGGTAAGGGTGCATCTCTTCCATGCTCAGTTAATGCCCTATGCATCCTCTACCACTAATTCTATTGCTTCATAATTATCTGCTTATGTGTCAGTCTCTCTTCCTTAGACTGTCAATGCTATGTCTTGTTCACAGCTATATCTTTGATATTTAGTACCTAAACAAGGCTAACACTTAACAAGTACTCGATAAATGTTTAATTGATTGCCTAATTAATTCAAAACATATTTAGCAAGAGACTCCCAGGTACTAGGCACTGTGTGCCATCCACACAGTGGTAAACAAAACAGGCATGGTGGTTCTCCTCATGAGCCTTACAGATTAGTGGAAAATGTGTTAAAAGTTATAAAAGAAACTAGACTCTCTCTTGCTAACGGAGGCGTAAATTCTTTTCTTTTTGACCCCACATCAGTTTCCCAGGAGAAATGGAAACTTGAGTAACATAACCAGTAATCCCTAACTTGTGACATTTTGTTTTGAAACTGACCTTTTACCAATGTTCCTGTTATGCTGATTACGATAAAGACAAAGATAGACCGATACCAGCAGTCAGACCACCAAACCGTGTCTGAAGACCCTGTTTATTGTCAACAGTCACCATGGATTTTGGACCGGAGACAACATCCTGTGGTTTCAGCCTATATAATCTTTTCCCTACTCTTCCCCTTCAGAACACCCAAGCAAGACCTCCTTGGGTCAGTGCTTCCCCAGCCTGCAGACTGTAACTGGACAAAATGAACTTCAGCTTTCCTTGAACCTCTGACTGTTAGTGTTTTCTTCCAGGTTAACACGTCTGGTGTCAGAAGTGGGATCTGTGGCCCTCCTGCTCTTCTCCTGTGGCTGCC